TCCTCCATTTTAGAGACTAAAAATCCTGTAAGTGGGCTATCAGTGATGCTAAGTTTGATCACTTGGTTAACTAGTGACTGACAGACCTCTCTGCTGGAAAGGTAGTTTTCCCTTTGTAATCAGTAAGTCATTTGTGGGGTGATATTTTGGCACGTTACAAATATCCCAATACGCCACAACCTTTCACCCAATAGCTTTAGCATCCACTGATGACAAAAGCCCCTGCTCTGCCATTATGCTTCGATGTGACAACGCCCTTCCCTGCATCCACTCCACAGGATTCCTATAACATTTAATAAACTGTAATATTACATTCATGTTCGGTATCAAGAAGGCATCTGAAGTTGTATGGCACTTTATTTAAAAGGTATTAAAGGCCTGTTAAGTAGTCACTTGTTAACAGCAGAACTATAATTTTATTAGCACCAGCTTCCAACTCTGTACTTCAGTGGTTCTCAGCCTTGGCTGTTCATTAGAAACATCCAAGGCATGTTAAAAACTCAGGCTGGGGCCGACCCCGTGGCTTAGCGGTTAAGTGCGCGCGCTCCGCTACTGGCGGCCCGGGGTTCGGATCCTGGGCGCGCACCGACGCACCGCTTCTCTGGCCATGCTGAGGCTGTGTCCCACATACAGCAACTAGAAGGATGTGCAACTATGACATACAACTATCTACTGGGGCTTTAGGGGGAAAAGAAAAAAGGAGGAGGATTGGCAATACATGTTAGCTCAGGGCTGGTCTTCCTCAGCAAAAAGAGGATTGGCATGGATGTTAGCTCAGGGCTGATCTTCCTCACACACGCGCACACACACACACACACACACACACACACACAAGCTCAGGCTGCTCCCACGGGACCCCAGACCAGTGAAATCAAAGTCTCTAGGATGAGAGCCAGGTGTCAGTAGTTTGCAAAATTCCACAGGTGATCCCCATGTGCAAGCAAGGATGAGAACCACTGCTCTCAATAATCCTAATGGCATTTCTTACCATTTAAAATTCAGACAGGTAGACAGTTTTGATGAGTCAATAAGCTGACTTGACAAGTTTTATAAAAATGTGAAAAAAGTGCAACACTGTCAGTTTTCTTTAGAAAAGTAGTGCTTTTAAAATTCATGATTCCTTAAGAATCAAAGATCACAAACGTAAGTGACACCATATGATTTCTGGGAAATCAGGTCCAGAATAAGATATATTTTCTGCCCAATTCTCCAAGAGACCACATTACCACTGTATTAGTGATTAAGAAGGCCCCATACCTGGACTTCATGACAAAGAAACAAAGCTGATAAGTTGGAGGAAGCAGAGGGCAGCAGTCTAATTTTGCCTACAGTATTGAAAGCTGGCCTTAAGTGAGCTTCCCTCAGAGAAGAAACTGAGATGATCATGAAACATTAATTATACTCAGAAATTTCAAATCCATCCTTATACCATTTTTTTCAACAAGAGATTTACTGTATTTTCCCAAACTATACAAAAGTAGAAGTTTCAAATAAGAGCCCAACCATTAGTCACGCCCATATGTCCGGCAAATGTCAAACAAAAGGATGATGGCGAGAACATTCTTACAACAGTTAACTACGCAGTAACTGCATTTTGAAAGCACAAGCACCTACCCCAAGAGTAAGTTAGCTAGAATTATCTAAGATTCATTCTTTCTGGAATACTGTTGTTAGGGAGGGGGGAAATTCCCCCTTCTACCCTTCTTTTGTTCTAATGGCTGGACTAATAATAAAATTGACAGAAGACCAGATTAATAGGAGAAAAACCCCATTTAATTACGTGTGCATGGGAAAATCATGGAAATGATGCTTGGAGAGTGAACAAAGCAGGCAGTATACATACCTTTTACATAAAGAAGCAATAAATTTGTGAGGAATGACAGGACAAAGAAACTTAGGTTTGAGGTACATAATTAGTGAGGAATTTAAGCAGAGTTTAGACTTGAGGTAGTAAAATTAGCAGTCTGTTTATATAGGCTTCTTGGCTCTGAATTCCCCAGCTCTGGTGATAAGGATGCAGGGAGAGCACCTCTGACATGGGAGATTTATTTCCTGCTTTCAGGGGGAACAGAGACAGGAGGATCAGATGCCCTTTTGCTTCTCAAGTAACTTTAATTCAAAATAATATGCCATTATAGGATATTTTGGGGTGGCCTGCCCTGGGCTCCAACACTGTCCTCCATCTTTAATCACTTCCTGTCACAATGACAATGACACTCATGACAATGGGGCTGCTCAGGCGGGGTACTCCCGAGCTCAAACAGTGTCAGCAATGAGGTTACAGAGCCTTAAGGAGACTGAAAACATTGAAGCCTATTTGTTGAGCCTGAGCGGGCAGCAGCCATAAAGCGAAAGCACCCCTGGATC